ATCCAATGTGGACAGAATTTTCAGTAAAAATAATTTTATCATTTTTGCTTTTGCAGGCTATTAAAAATGAGCTTTAAGATATGACAAATAGTTACTGAGATGATAATGAATCGGATTCCGGGAACGCGTAAAATATAAGGAAAATATCAACGTGGAAATTTACATTAGACTGTGTATAAGTTCGTTTCATATTCGCTCCCTAGACACCAACAAACGTGACAGATAAGGTAGAACGGAGTTGTGAAAAGTAGTGGTACGAGTATATAAACGTTTAAACGTATTGCGGGCTACAGAAGTTGAAATGGAGCTAGATAGAGCTGTGTGTAAGGGATTTGACGTATCGGACAAGATGGAGTCACACAGACGGTCACAAGCATTCAAGTGTCGGCTGACAATGGAATCAACCAGCTCCTCATGAGATACAGTTTCATATCCAGAGACGGTTTTCAGTGAGTGTCTAATATGAAACCCTTAGACCGGGAAACAGTAAAGAGTAGACTGGGAAAGATAACGGGAGAACAGTAGGTCCAATGGCAAAAAACGCGAGAGAAAATAAATCTGGAGATGATGTGCAATGGCACCCTCAGATGCTGAAGGCGTGAAATATAAAAAGTCAACTTTCTGACTTTAAGAAATGTTTGTTCTATGTGATAGGACCAGTTGAGGTCAGCAGACAAAGACCGCATAAAACTTTCCCTAGATTCTCGGTTAAATTCCATGTTCACGAGGCGCATGTAATCGCTTTTACAGTATAACCAATGTTCGAATTGATTCACCCCCTCGGTGTTGACCGTTTACTGTAAAATATGCATTTCTATTAAAATGTGCCGTGAACACATCAAAAATGAGGGGACTCAAAGGATACGTTATTGGTTGTGTTTTCAACTTCGAAAAAATGATTTATGTGATCTGATTGATAACTAAACAATATAAACGTAAATATATGTTTTTCGGCCGTCATCTAAGTTAATTCATACAAGATAGTACCATCATGTTCAGATTAAAGGAAGCTGTCAAGAATTTGACTAACACTGCATTCGGAGGTCGACAGAGATGCTAAGTGGGACAATTGAGAGTACGTGGCACTGGAAAAGATTACAGAATCCGTTCGAATAGACCATGAACAACCCACGATAAATTTGGGCGAAAAACAGAATGATATGTGACCCAATTTTAATACGATATTGGCTATGTATTCTCTCAACTTCATGATTTATCAACTAATATATCCACTTCATCATTTAGTGATTTCTCGTCATTTGAATGCATTCTGTTTTTCGTGCTAAATGTGATGAAATTCGATACGAAAATTTGTTTGGTCCAATCAATGTTCATTCCTACGAGACATCACATTTTGCAGAAACACTTTAAATGCTTTGGTAAATGATTATGAAAGAATGAAACCGTACAAGTAAAACCTTTGAAATCACGTCTGACAGTAAAGTTGATTTTATGCGAATCATTGTTTGAAAACTTACCTGTCATCGAATGAGGAGATGGATAAAGAGCATTTTGGGGAGAAATTCCTGATGCAGTAGGCACAGAGAGATACTGAACCTTCCATGTTTTTAAGAACAATATATTCGTATTCCACCCAGATACACGCTTTTTGAATGATATTGCAGCTGCATGGGACCAGTGATTTGATTACTGCACCAAAGAATTCTTCCCCAACTCAGAATCCCCTCAAATAGTTACAGCCAATCAGGTATATACCAAAATCATTGGCTTTTGTCAGTGAACCATAGGTATTTGTGTTCAGTCTGGCGTAAAATAATATAATTATATCGAATAAATTGCTAAATCGTTCATTTTCCATGGCATCCATCGTCGATTGGTTGGTTGGTTGTTGATATCGATCATTTTTGGTATGTCGAGCCAATGTGATGTTTTTTTCTTCAATTTACTGCATTTATTCAAGTTTTATCAAGAGCATTTGTAAATAATTAAATTTACGTGCAACAAAATGGCACCTTTGATTTTGAAAAAAAATTGTGGGTTATAGCAAAGCGTATGTTTTAAACTGTCCTGGCAGTAAAAGTAACTCCAACAAGATAGATGTACATTACGATCAAACTGTAAATGGTTAAATATGGCAGCCTGAATTTTATTCTGCCATAACATATTAATAAGATTTTATTTACGATGCAATGTCAATAAAATGTATTCCTGCTTCTTTTGATGTGTAATATGATTGGACCTTTTTGGGCAAGGCAAACAGGAAGTTGACGAATGCTCTTCTGGTTTTTAACACGGCCATGTAAAATTTCTTACCTGCCGCCCGGTGGTTTGTTTGGGACAGTGGCCAAGGAAGCCGAAGTGATTGTACAAACTATCTTGCGAGCAGAGTTTTGCGTTATCATTTCAACTCGCTTCAACGACTAAAGGAACTTGCGCACAAGTCTTACTGTACTGCAGCCGTCAGGCGTTAGTCTTCGATCGAACTCCGAAATAGCAAACACCCTTGGCAGGGTATCAGATGTCTCTTTGGAAAGAAAAAAGTACGGTGGAAGCTAAATTTTGATGTTCATGGTCCGAATCCAATCGTTGGAGATTCTTCCTGTCTACTGGTCACACTGTTTGTAATGTGGAACCATTCTAAGATTGCGATATGTTAAAACTGCTAAATAGTTGTAATTTTTCCTCTGCTGCAAGCCCGGATGGTCAACCTTAGGAACTCTTCAAATCTGGTGCTGCTTCTCTTGCTGGGCAATCACTTTCATTGCGAATGAATCTCATAATGTTGAAGTCTGATCACAATCATACCGATTCCCAAAGCATCCCAAGGTTTTAAATTCTCCAAAGATTATTAACTCGCAGCGCTAATATCTTCCTCGCTTAAGTGAACTGAGAGGGCTATCCTCAAAGATCTTGAGCATTCTATTAAACTTCCCAAAGATCCTTTACTGTTTACCTACAAGTGAAACAGATTCTCTTTAGATACAGGCTGTACTCATATTTGTTTTATCACTGATTCTTTGAACAACCTTGTTGAGTCTGTTCTGTGTTCATTTCTTGGCTGCTTTTCAGTATTTTATTTCACTCATCAATCAAAATTATCAAAGCAACTGGAATCGTTAGAATGTTCTTAGCAATGGTTAACTTGGTTGTCCAGCTATTTCTACGATGGAAAACAAACGACCAGACTGGAAAAAGCTTCATCTGCATCATGATTCTGGAGTTCTTCAAGTAGCTATGCTATCCGCATAATTATTTTTCATATACGTTTGTGATATTCCTTATGTTCTTACTGCAATTGTTTGGAAATATGCAAATGATGTGCTGTGGCAGCTCATTTCCTCTTCCTCCGATCTAAACTAACTCACAGATAATGGTGGTCAAATCCAGTCATTTTCCTACTAGTCAAAGATAAGCTTAAAACAAAGTGAAGTTGTCGAATGTTTTTATGGTTTTGTACAATCTTCCTGCCCAACAAACCCATTAGTGATAAATAACAACCCTTTCTCTATGGTGAACTATTTCACATATCTTCGTGTAACTATAGCTAACCATATTTGTTGGTCAACACAAATCCATAATCACATTAGGAAACTAAGGCGCTTATCATTTTCGATTCTAAAGCTTGGGCAGTTCCGCGGATCCATAAGTTATTTCTACCTTCGCGTATCAGTCAGTTTAAAACATCTTACTTCATTGTTTCCCAGGTACCTAAACACGATATCGAAGTCTTATGTTGCTGTCCAACTATTACAAGCCGTGTTTTTCTGTTCCTTTGAACTTGTTAACTGAGAAACTTCTGGAGTATCGAACAACTTACTGTGTCTACTTTGCGGAGAGGATTCTCACAGATGCTGACCACCCGTTGCACGCAGAACTGACACCTTATCGCTGCCATCCCTCGAAACGTTCTCAATTCCCAAAATTTCATCTCGCTTACCGAAATCTACCTATACCTCATTTGCACGTTTACTCACAAACTAATATAAGATGTATTAAGTGAAATATGTCTTTACATCGCACTATGAAATGCCCCAATCCATAAACACTTTTTCCCGTTAAATCAAAGGATAGGAATGTACTAAATATGGCTTCGTTTGGGTGTAACGCCGTTTTCTATGGACTTATCCTAAACTGAGACGACTATAATTTTTGTAGAATTACAGTAGAAATGAGACGAGAATGACCGATTCCTTACTGAGTCCATATGAAAGAAGGTTTATCAAGTTGAATCCTTTTCAACGTTAAGTTTATACAAAGCAATCCCTTGTGATTCCCTCTTGAAGTCCTGTTGATAATCAATTGTATAATTATAGTACTATTACGCAACTGCTAGTTCTTTTAGTCCGGTCAAGAGTGAATTAGTATTCAGTGGATAACGACCATGTGCAAGAAGCTTTGCTGCTGTATGCAGTTGATCACTTCTCAGACTTCAAATTGGTGAATGTACATCATCTTATAGTTGTGCATCAGAAGAGACATCATGATCGAAACGATTGTTGCCGAAATCCACATAACTGAAAAATCCTCAAAAGCTTTTCCTTCCATCGTAATCTGCTGATTGCTATCAAATACAAAAAATGCAAGGAACTGNCACCTACCGGAGTTACCCGCCATGAGAAAATGAACGTAGTCTGAGGACGGAGCAGCGATTAATGTATCATAAGGGCAACTAATGCAACTCACCGGCATTACTCATTCAGGGTTACGTAATTTTGACCTTATTGTCTATTTGCTCTACTTTAATACAATAAAATCGTACAGAAATCAAAAGCTGTCACATTTGGTTCAGATGGTTGGTTTCCAATACAACCGTCAATGTCCTTGGCAATATATGTTTCACCCCCAGAGCAGTAGAGACTATTCATTCGATGGAGGGGAATTTGAAAAAATAAAACGACATCATTGAATAAAGTACAAGTATTTATTTCGATGTAAATATATATGTATATGTTTTGAATGTAGTTGTTCAATAAGAAGGCACCAGTCGAACTGGTACCGATTCCTGTGTAATGTACATGTCCAGGTTCAATTCATTTTTATCACACAAAACTCACTTCATTTTTCTTCTTGCCCACACTTTTTGCGACTGACTTTTCGGGGTCAATAGTATCACATGATTTCTGCGTCACGCTTGCAAACGTGCTCGGTGCACGCGGCAACGTCCCCGTGACTCCGGCTCCCAGCCCCGTTCCAGTTGTACTGGGCACTTTGCGCAGATCTTCCTCGCTGTGGAAACTAGGTTGCGTGTCACGTCTGCCGTTCGAACGCGGTACACTACTGGTGACTGGGTTTGTTAGCGCCAGATTAAATGTGTTTGCCGTGTTGTGCGCCGAAGTTCGGCTGTCTAGCTCATTTACTCGTGGAGTGGGCATCAGTTTCTGATAGCCCTCATAGTTCGCGTTACAAGGGGATGCGTTCGAGGGGGATCGCCGCAACAACACATCCACTCGGCCGAGGTCCGATCGCTGAACAAGTGGGTTTTGCAAGGTTCTACAGTGGGGCATTGTGGTCATCAGATGAGAGTAGCCGGTCATACTAGTCAGTTTCGGAGATCCGCACAAACCTGTGCCGTGCAGATCCGGACTATTACCGGTCGATTTAAGTCGCCCAGACCAAACGTACAAGTTCATACTTGGTTCATCGCTTAATGTAAAGAGTTCCTCACCGGCTGAATGACACATCGATTGATTATCCGGAGGGGGTGGCGGGGGAGGGCCCGGATGGGGGCGGAGGGATAAGAAAGGGACGGGGCGGAGGAAATACGTAACTGATATCGCTTACTGACACATTAATATACAGTTGGTGAATAAAATGACACAAAAATAAATCCTAAGATTCTATCATATATTAATTTTCCAAATTTATAATCGTGACAGAAAACGTACAACCTAAAATAAAATATTACCAATGTAAATCACATTAGTCATCAGCTGTAGATGATATCACGTCATCTTACGACATAGTTGGATCCATTTAAAAACAAGTTTTATCATAACCTGCACGGATATTTTGATTATCTTTTCATTTATATATCCGTTTCCTCAACTAAACTCATGTGAGCTTCGTGTATCTTCAGACACACGTTTGTTCCACTACAGATCAAATTACCGTTTTGTCGTTTATAATACTAATCCCCCTCATTGAGAGTTTTGTCTAAATCAAACCACGATAAACAGCAACAACACTGGAATTGAACTGACCGCTTTCGATATGATTATGTTGTTGAGAGAACTACGTCGTTTGCAGTGCTGCTTTGGGTCATAACTATATCACTTCGAATCTGTTTGAGGGGCAACAGCTGTGCTCTCATTCCACGCCTTACCACTCCTCCCTATTGTAGTGCACACTCTCTGTGAGTATTGTTACGATGTGAAACTTAAAATTTTCTTTCGAACAATAAATTGGTTTCTATGACTTATTCCCTACAGATTGTGTGTGCTTTGTGAAGAATTTATCGGTACTTTTCCATTGCAAAGAACTTTGTGATATTTCATAGATAAATTCAGTAAGCGAGAAAATAATCTATTCATTTAAAGACACCACTACTTCCATGCCCGCGACTGACAAATCACAGAAAGCCTCAATAAAATAACTTGAGATCGATCCGAGAGTGCTATAACAATCCTGTTCACCGTCAGTTTGTTTCTGATGGCAACGTTTACACAAGGATTCTGAGAGGTCAATAGCATCGCACTTACAGCAGCTTACGTTGCGCGGCAAACGATAATAAACTTGTAATTTGAACCAGCCGTACGTGTTCCTTTTTACAAATAACAAACCAATTCAATTTCATGCAATCAATTGAGCTCACTGTGACTGGCACTTGGTTGGAAAGTGATGCAACGATCAATGACCTAATTTTACTGGACTGGTGATCAGATAGTGTGCTGCTGACTCCATCATTGGATACGTTTCTGGGGTGATTAGGATTCATCCAGTTACATTTTATTTTTTGAATGACCTCAGAAAGAAATTCACGTCACTTGTTACGCGTATTTATGTCCAACAAAATATCTATTCAGGTACAAAGTGTAAGAAAACGAATGGTACTTTCAGTTTGAAGAGAGCAAGGTAGCAAGAAGTAGAGAGAATAAGGCCAGGTGATGGATGATGCCACACCGATGACAATTTCGTTTCTACCCATTATCAAAATGATTTCAAGTCACCTTTGATGAACAATGCATCTAAAAAAGGTGATCTTCCCAATGATATATTACATTACAACTTCCTAACTTTAATTTCCTAAATTGCAGAAACCAGAGAAATAAAGAATTGTTCAAAGGACAGAGACTTGGTTCATTCATCTTGACAAATTGGTTTACAATAAAAATACCTGAGTGTAGTAGTGAGTGTGCTCACATTCGGGAGTAATCTACGCAATATGGTTTGTTTATCAGCAACAATGTGAGAATCCCGAATGAAGAAAATGATCATTTCTCATATATGCAAAATGTAATTTAAACATTTATTCTAAGCGGTTTTAACTGACACACATTTGATGATATGTCAAGCGATTTGAATGACTCTTTCGAACGCAGCTTTTTTTCAAATGGCATTAATTCATCGACGTTTCACGAGAGTTTTGTGAAATTTCTGAAATTACTATAATCTCATTTTATTCATAATACGCCATCACTCAGTTCTTGAGGAAGCGCTTTTCAATGAATTTCTCTTAAATTTAATGGTCAGATGTGTTTGCCGCATTAATGCAACAGAAGTGACACCGGGGTTTGTTTGATCAAATTTGTGCTCTATAGTAATATAAACATAACGGAAAAATATCCTTCGCAAAATGAAAAGCGTATGGTTACATCTGATAAGTCCAAATACATATGAGTGGTTAGATAAAAGATTAGTTTATCATCTCAATCGATATGGGGACTGAATTAAGAACTAATGTTTGCACAATGCATTACGACACAACGTTTGCAAAATGCGGAGTAGACTAATGTTTCAGGAAAAACTGTCACATGTAAATGGTAACTGCTGTACTTGTGAACTATTATCCCGGTCGTTTGTATTCTTTAATTTGCTGTAAATTTTTTGTTCTACTTCAGCAACCTTTTTACTATTCTGTTGATCCTACTAGGATGTACACCCGAGTAACACGGGGCTCTGAAGACAATTTTCTTTCCTGGGGAGGGGTGGTGTAACGACCTTGGTAACTTGCCATTCCGTTTGTGTGTGAGTCGCCTTTATGCCTCACTTGACAGTTTGCTTCATGGCGTTTTTATTTTACTACCTTATACATTGTCACTCAACCCTCCCCAATGAGAACCTCCTGTCTGTCTACGACTCTAGCTCACACCGAAACCAGCTCATATCTGGTTGTCCGGTGCATCTGTTCGCGGGGATATCCTGCTGTACACCAGAATCCCAGGCATATTGTACTATTCGGACTTCTATAAAGCCTTTTTCTTTACTAGTTTCCAACTATTTGATGTATTTATAGTAAAAGTGATAATCCGAGAAAAAGCTGAAATACATGGCCTCAAACTTAATTATAAATTACTCACGGTTTTCCTATTCGCGAATTGTGCATTCGACTCTTTGCTCAGAGATCCATTTTGGATCAATCTTTCAACGATATCCAATGCTATCGGTTGAGAATAGCTTATTCTTCGAAATTATAAAGCTTAGAATGTAAGGAAACGAAATTACGGTTTTCCTTTTTTGGTCTTCAAATCCCCATTAGCTACGCTAACCAGCAGATCTTGATATTTATGTTTGGACTACTCATAAGTAGTTCATGCTTTCGTTCCAAGTATACTCAGAACAGAAAAGAGGCGAGGAAAATTTCACGTATGCATAATTCAAGCAAAATCATCTTTGTGTACACATCTTTGATTTTGCAAATTCTGTGATTGTACACCTGTGGTGTATTTGAGTTTACTCTATCTATATTGAAATTAATGAGTAAAGCTGTATCAGATCAGAGTGTTTAGAATATTCAATGAACCTTCAACTTCAATCTACAAGAGTAACTCGTTTACATTGTAGGTTTTTACTTTATAAGGGATCTGTTAGGGAATCAATATCCAGAGTATTCTTTGGTGTGTGGGTGTGTTGAATTTTGGGATATAACGATCAGAATCGTTGATGAAAAACTAATACTAGGAATAGTGAATCGGATGAACAAGTTCCAAACAAAACTCCACGGAGTAGAATCGAATGAAAGTTAAGTAAAGAAATGCACCTCGAGAGTCTAACTTAACAAACTCCTAATGAAAATCGGATGATAAGTGCCGAATCAATTTTATGCCTCTGCAAACACTTTCATTTACCTTTCAGTTGCTATCTATTATTTGGAGTAATTATTGAAATAGATTTTATATGAATGATATGACAGACCTCGGGAATGATTCGCGATCTTCCACTTCAAATGTGCGTTAACTTACCGTGTTAGCTAGCACCTTGTGTCACGGATCAGTATATTTTATGCTCCGTCACACTGAATTAACTGAATGTCATTCTTTATTTGATCAAAATGTTGTTTGGCAGATTTGCAGCTTGTATAACGATTTTGAAAATTTCAGTAGCTACGGTGGTATCCGAACCCACTCCTCGTAGCTCCGCTCGTTGAGTTTACGCGGGCAAAGCGTAGGTGGTGTCTATACCTGGGTTCGAATCCCACCGAGGTTACTGAAATTAATTACTTGGGTTTAGTTAAATTTTGGTAGGTGTCACCCACGGGAAACGTGAGTTGATCTAAATCTCATGAAACCCACTATAAAAAGCTGATCCACATTCAAAATATTCCCGTTTGATGACATCAATGTCGGCGAAATGCCTTGAAAATTAAAAATATTTTGCAGTTATGGTTGTCCTGTACTGGATGTTGCAACAATCGAACCCAAACTCATATGTAACAATTAGAATAACGAAAATGTTAACTGGTTCGTCTCGGTTATGTCGTTGTTTTTTACAACCTTTTTTATATATTGAATTTACAAATGTACATTGAGGAAGGGGGGTCGCGGACATGCAATGGCTGTCCGGGAAGACCGGCGGCGGTGGAGCGGTTCGAACCCTGGACTCAGAGGCCACAAGTTGGTGACCTAACACCTTGGCCACCACAGCGCTAATACTATATTATATAATATAATAGTATAATAATATAATAATAATATGTATAATATAATAATATACACATGTGAAAGATTATACATGTGTATCAGACAATCAGTCCTATTATGATTCTAAACGTAGCACTGTTTCGAAAACTTGCACTTCTGGGAAAGTTGTGCCAACAGGTAGCTTCAATGTGTAAAACTCGCAGTAATTTGTATAAGCTACCTTTCTTTCCATCCAGAGGAATGTTTTCTTTCGCCAGTCAAATGGGATATCTATAAATGAAAATGATTTTTTTCTTGATTCTATTCCGAGATTGAATATCTCGTGTCTATTGATCTTCAGCAAAATTGCAGATGCGGTCGTAAAAACAACTAAGGTCATATATTTGAAATGTGCGAGGAAAAATCCAGTTTCTCCGCTATAAATCATAATATTGCGTGAGATCTCAATCCGTAGTTTTATTTCAATAAAAAGAATAATATTATAGTTATTTGAAACTTAATAATTATTCCACAACTTATTATGCATTTTTGATATTTGCCAAGTGGTACTTTCATCAGACAAGCAGATGGGTGCTGCAAACTAATTAATAAT